ATATATATATATATATGTATAAAAATATTAATTCAAATATTCTTATAGAAATTTAAAAATAAAATTAAAATCTCATTGAAGAAACTATATTTTCTTTTGATTAATTAAATAACGTGAGATTATAAGTCTCTGAATTTGCGCAGTACCTTCATAAATTTGATAAATCTTTGCATCTCGCATTAATTTTTCTACAGGATATTCGGTATTAAATCCAGCACCACCAAAAATCTGTAAAAAATTTCAATTATATATATATATATAATTATTTCAAGGAAATATATATTTTTAAGGAAAATAAAAATATTAAATAATAATTATATACTTGGACAGCATCTGTTGCACATTTATTAGCTATATCACCACCATAACATTTTGCAATACTGGCAAGAAATGTAGTTGTTGGAAGTTTATGATCAGAAGCCCAAGCTGCTTTCATCCATGCAAGTCTAGCAGTTTCGATACCAATCGACATATCTGCAAGCATAAATCCTATGGCTTGATGTCCTGCTATTATCGTATTAAATGTTTTACGTTCGGTTGCATATTTCAGAGCTTCATCTAAAGCTCTTTGGGCTAAACCGACTGATCCAGCTGCTACCTATAAAAAAAAATGAAAAATAATATCTAATTTTTCAATTTCAATTAATTTTTTTTTAAGTTTCAATAGTTTTTTTTTAAGAGTGTTTTCACCGATGATCTAGTCTTATCAAAGGTTTTCATAGCAATCTTAAATCCTTCTCCTTCTTTGCCCAAAACATTTTCTTCTGGGACACGAACGTCTTCGAATGTTATCATTCGAGTATCAGAAGCTCTTTGACCCATATTTATTTCCTATTTTAATATAAAAAAAATTTATAATATTTAATTTATATTTAATAAAAAATTTATAAGATAAAATAATTTAAAATTTATATAAAATAATTTAAAATAATATAAAATTTGATAATAATTTAATTTAATAAAAAAATTTACTTTTCGACCAGGTGTTAAACCTTCACTTTCGCGTTCAACAATAAAAGCTGTGAAAGCTTTACTAGGAGGAGCTTTTGGATCAAGATTTGTTCTTGCTAATAAAAAATACCTATGCAATACATCAATAATTTTTTATATTCTATATATTAAATTATTTAATGATAATTAAATTAATAATAAATCCAATATACCAATTAGCAACACCTCCATTTGTTATCCACATTTTTGTTCCATTAATGATCCATTCATTTCCTTTTTTTTCAGCTTTTGTTTTAATATTTGCTACATCTGATCCAGCTCCAGGTTCAGTAACACAATATGCCTATAAATTTTATACTAAAATAATTATAAAAAAATTATATTACATATGAATTTCATTATATTACAGCAACAATTGGCTCTTCAAGAAGTCTACCAAGATACTTCTTCTGTTGTTCTTTATTTCCAAATGCAATTACAGGAGCTTCCTTTAAAGAAATATTTAAATAATATTATTTCATATGAATATAAAAATATTATAAAAACAAACTTACGCCTAAATCTGATCCTTCCATTGCAGTCGATATTCCTGTACAACCATAAGCTAATTCCTCTGTGATTAAACAACCATCAAAGCTATTGAATTCCATACCTCCTATGAATAGTAAATTTACATATTTATAATTTTTTTTTAAATTTTAAAATTTAAAAATTTTTTCTTTTTTTTTTTTAAACATATAAATCTTGATTATACCACAATATTTAGGAATATGTTTATGTAATAAGCCTAAACTCCATGCTTTTTTAATAATATCCCATGGATATTTTCCACTTTTGTCATATTCTGCAGCCACTGGAATAATTTCTTCTTTTGTAAATTTGCGTGCTAATTCTTGTATTTCTCTTTGCATATCATTTAATTCTAAAATAAAAATATCAAATGTATATTTTTCATTTTTATAAATGATTTTATTTTTTTTTTAATTATATTTAATGCACTAACCAAAGTTATATCCTATAGCATAATCAGATTTTGATGTAAATCTTCTTATTGTTGAATATGATATTCTTTTCAATACCTGAAGAACATATGGTATATATTTATTAATATTTTATATATTATATAATTTATTAAATAAAATTTATTAAAATAAAATAAATAAGACAAAATAATAGATTTTATTTTATAATATTATTTTATATGGCATTATTTAATTTTTATATAAAATTTCATAATTACATAGTACTTACCAGTGTTGAAATATTGAAGTATGAAAACATCTTGATAATTTTTGTCTTTACAATATATATATATAATTTTAAAATCGTTTTTTTATAACTTTGTTTTTAATTTTTAATATATTAAAATTTATAAACTTTATATATATGAAACATTTTATTTAACATTTTATCTAGAATTATCAAGATTTTATCTAGAATTAGATATCTAGAATTCTTATAGAAATTTTATATTAAATATATAAATATATTTAAAATAAAAGTTTATTTTAAAATTAAAATTTATTTTATTCGTTAAAGTTATCGTCAAATGTATCGAGACGAAATTATTTACCAATAATTATAGAAAATTACTTAAATTATCAAAATAATCTTTTTGGACCTTGGACCAAGAATGACGAAAATAATGGGCGTTATTGCTTTATATTATTCAATTCCCCTACTACTTTTACTTATAATTATTCAACTTAACTGATTTTAAAAAAACTAATAAATTTTTAATAATTATACACGTAATTATCATTTCTTATTTTAATTATCTTATAAATAATATATTTTGTTTATTTATTATTTATTTATATTATAACATAGTACTAAATATCTACGAATTTTCTAGTTTAATTAGAAAATTTTATTCGTATTATCATTGTAGATATCATTGTAGATTTTGATATTAAATCTATTTTGATATCAAATCAAATCATACCAAATTTATATTGAAAACAGATCTTTGATATCATAATCTGCATCATTATTTTAGCGCCAAATAAAAATTTTTTTCAATTAATTTAAAATGACAATATTTAAATTATTCTTTTAAATAATTTTATTATAAAAATATTTTTGCGAATAAATAAGATATACATGATATTATTATTTATAATTATTTATTCTGTCACAATGTATAATATAATATAATAATATAAGATATAATATATAATTACAATTCTTAATTTGATTCGATTATTAAAAGCAGTTTTTTTTTAACTTTTCAATCAATTTTTTATTTTATATATTGTTATTTCCATTCATCAAAATCTTTTTAATCTACAAAATCAATATCATTTAACCGATATCTACTTACGCGGAAATGCAAAAATTATAATTTTCATCACGTATATTTATCTATCAATATTGAAAAAATAATAATAATTAAAATTTACATCTTTATTTATACATATATATATATATATATGTATATATATATAAACAAAAATGTAAATTGTAATTATTTTGTTGATATTTAAATATCTTCAAGAAAATTTTAAATTTGATCGAATTTAAATTAATTATTTATTTATTTATAACATTTATAATATTTGTATATGTTTAAAATTTAATTCACACAAATTGATAAGCAAATTATGTAAAATATTAACATTATAAGTTTGTAAACGTTTAATTTATAAGCGAAAGCAAGCAAAATATGTAATACACATATATAAATCTATAGTCTTCGATGCATAGAGTTTTCTTTGTTGATCAATTGTAATTTATTAATATTGTTTTTTTGAAAGATACAATGAAGTTAATATATATAAAAAAATAGATTCTTTTTTTTATTTTTTTAAGTCATTTGACAAGAAATTGTCATAATCTTTTTAGCATGATGATAGAGATTCATCCATTGACAAACAATCCTACAGCAGCTTGGCATGAATTATCACAACAGCAAAAAGTTATTAAAATAAATACTAAACTTCCAACAACTGATGCGCCAAATGATAAGGTAAAACATTTAGATTATTTATCTTTTTTTTATTAAAAATATTTATTGAATCTAACCTAAATATAGAGTCAATATATTAGATTTTTATTGTAATTTATAAATAATTTATTGAATTTATATTTTATAAAAAGATAATTTATTGTAATTTATTAATGTTTAAATATTTTAGCTTCGTATTGTTTGTATGAGCGATACTCATTCATTAACACCATTTATAAAATTTGATATACCCATGGGAGATATCTTTATACATGCTGGAGATTTTACAAAATGTGGTAGTTTACAAGAAGTTATAGACTTTAATGATTGGATTGGTAATTTGATATATTTTTTTATAGATTTACATTTAGCATATAATAATAATTATCTTATTATAGGTAATTTACCACACAGAAATAAAATTGTTATAGCTGGTAATCATGAACTTAGCTTTGATCCTACATTTACTCATCCTTTTTCTTTACAAACCAGTGGTAATCGTCAAAAACATACAGGGACCAGTATTCTTGATAACATACCTACATTAGGGATGTCCAAAGATACTCTTGCAGAAGCGATACAGACTACTAATATTAAAGATTATTTGACAAATTGTATTTACTTAGAAGATTCAGAAATTGTAATACACGGAATAAAGATATATGGCACTCCATGGTGAATATTTTGCATTATAGAAATACTTTATATATCATATTTCTTTAAAAATTTTTTATATTTTAGGCAACCAGAATTTTGTAAATGGGCATTTAATGTACCTCGTGGAGAAGCATGTCTTTCAAAATGGGAAATGATACCATCAGATACAGATATTCTTGTAACACATACGCCACCTGTAGGGCATGGAGATTTGTGTTGTAGCGGTGTAAGAGCTGGATGCGTCGAATTACTTTCTACAGTTCAAAATCGAGTTAAACCAAAGTACCATGTTTTTGGTCATATACATGAAGGTATATTATTAAATTAGTTCGTTTTTCTTTCATATTAATTATACATATATCATATTATAGGATATGGCATCTCAACCGATGGGAAAATAATATATGTAAATGCATCAACATGCGATTTAAATTATTTACCAAGTAATCCACCAGTAGTCTTCGATATAACATTACCATCTGGTCATTATAAATCATAAAAAAGATTAAATATAGTAATAAATTTCATTACATTTCTTACATACAAACATATTAATCAAGTATGTATAAGAAAACATTAATTTATTTATGTATATATTTTTATGAATTTTGTTACATATTACATATCTTTTATATTTAATATTATCCATCTATTCTAGAAAATTGCAGATCACATATAAAAAAATTATAATTCTCAAATATTGATATTGATATTGCCTAGTTTTTTAAAATACTTAAGAAACGCTGAAAATAATTTTTAATATTATCAAGATTTTTTTTTATCTTTACTTATCTTTACAAATGTAAAAATATTATAATCATTTTTTAAAATATTATTCATTAGTTTTATTCATATAAAATAACATGTAAATAGAACACTTTTGTACTTATGAAATTTTAGTTATATTATTTTAAGAAACTATTTTACAAACATGTTAAAGAAATTAAAAGTATTTCAAAGTATTCAAATATTACAGGAATCCTGCGTACTGTATATTTTTTTATACGAAAGTTACATAATTTCATTTTTATTAAGTTATTGTATATAATATAATAAATTAAGTTATATATGTTTTTGTCATGTTAAAGCATACATAAAATTTTAGTTATTTATTTATTTAGTCAGCAAAATATTTGATATTGCAGTGATAAAGTACATCGTAAATAATTAATCCATAATTCATAGATTATTTGTAATTTTTAATGTAATAAACAATATTCATTAATAATAACGTGATAATATAGAATAATATTTGAGTATTAAAATTTAACATATAGAAAATAGAACAATATGTTCTAATTAATTAATTAATTTTAATAACTAAAATTCAATATATTAAAATTTTATATTTAATTAATCAAATAATTTGAGACTTTAGTTATATTTTATGAATGATATAATTTTTAAAGAAAATAAAATATTTCTAAAAATGCTTTAATCATTTGAACTAATAGCATGATAATAAAGTAGTACTAATAGTAAAATGTACATAATTTTTATCATACTAATAAAATATTTAAATTCAAATTACATTTTTTAAAAATATTTATTATAATATCCAATTTATTATAACAAGTAGTACTTTTTTAAATTGAGAAAAATTTGCATATAAACAATGCTGTATCTATATATTGATTTATATTTTCATATAATATTGGTCCAAAGCTTTAGTTGTAATTGTAAAGTCACTTTCCTCTATGAAATGAGCATAATTATTTTCGATAATAGAATTACGTTCATATAAATGACGATTTTTTTTCCCTTTCTTTAAAAATTGTAATGTAGTAGTAAAAGATAATCGAAAAAAGTATATATCTTCTTGATTTTTTTTTTTTTCTGTTGTATATAATGTAGTAAATTTATTAAAATATAATATACCACATTATATCAGATAAAAAGTAAAAAATTAATTTGCTTTAACGCATTATATTATAAATTGAAAAATTGTACTTACATATTGGAAATTTTTTATACGTAACAGTAAAAAATGAAATATGCCTTTATGACGTAGTTATATCGCCATATGGTATGAATGTCTGTTTGCATTTATTACAATACTTTTTATCCCCAGTCTCATATAATTGCCACGATAATGTTATTTCATATCGTAATAATTAATCAAATTAAATTATAGAAGAATAGAATAATTATATATTCTATATGGATATATTCTACATATGAAGTGGCAATTTAGCGAAAATTTAATTAATTTTTAAAAAATTTTACTCTGAAGCTTGTTGTTTGCATCTATTACTTATTAACTTACTTTTCTTTTAAAATGGAGAGTATAGTATGCATCTAATGTCTCCTACACACGTCTATTAAAGAAAAAAATACATATGGTTTTCAAATTAAAAACGGGATATTGGTGCTTATCCCAAATTTACTCCTAAGACAAATAAGTTTAACTAAACTAAGAATAACAGTAAATGGATGTAAAAAGATTACATTCTTCTTACATAATTTAAACGAGTACATTATCAGGAAGATTTGTATTTAATACGGTACATTTGAAAACAGGTACGATACAGATTCACCGTTGTGAGTCCGCCTTACAGCCTCAGCAAACATCATTGATACATCAATGCACTAGAACAAAAAAGATATATAATATTATATTCATATAAATATATCTCTTTTAAATGTCTATACACAATATGATTATTTCTATATTTCTATATTATATTAAAAATAAAATAAAAATAAGAATAAAATTATATTGAAAGCGAAATATCTTGATGATAATTATTTTTAAGATAATATTAGAGAAACTTGTAAAATTCATATTTAAATTTTTTCTTGTAATAATCTTAATCAAAGCATCTATATTTATATTCCATAGATTTTATATTAAAATATTTTATAAATGCATAAACATTCACGATCTAGTAATAATATCATTTTTTATGAAAACCGGAAAAGAATCTAAATATATAAAAAAGTAAATCGAAAATGTAATTTTTTTTTTTTATAGAGCTTCATTCTTAAATAAATCATTGTTGAAAACATATATATTTGATTACATTATATTACTATATTATTATTATATATATATGTAATATAATAGAATAAAATAAAATTGGTAAAAATTTTCATGATTAAAAAAATGTTATTAATTTATGTTGTTTTTATCTAATTAATACACGCACAAGTGATATCTGTTGAAAATAAATGAGATTATACATATACAGATACTCAATGAATTTTCTAATATCGATTCATTCAAAAATGAAGCTTTGTATATATCGCTTTATATTTTTCATTTTTTTTATTTAGATTCACCTTTATCTTTATTATTATTTATATTTGACCTATCTTATGATGTTGAAAAACATCTTTATGTCGTTGAAATTATATTATATTTCAAATTAACTGGACCAAACTATAATTCTAAAATAATAAAAAAACTTATATCTAAAAATATCCAAAAAATATTTTAATTTTAATTTCATAAAATTTAGCATATAAAAGATAAGGAAAACTGTAAAATAGTTGCCTTATATTTACATTTTCTTATCTTTCATATAAGTAAGTCTTGTAAATAAATAAATAAAATATGTTTTGTTTTTCAATGTTTTCTTTTTTTTTTTTATAAAGAATAGAAAATAAATCATAAATTAAAAAAAAGATTATATAAAAATTGTATAGTTTAATTTTAATTGAACAATCTTAAAATTTTTTTTTATATTATGGCTTCAGTTAATTTCATAAATATATATCTTGTATATATATTTATGTATTATATGTATTATAAAATGTTACAATTATTATTATACCTGTATTTTTGGACAATCCTTCATGTGACCATCTTGAGGAATAGTATTTGTTACTACCACAGCTTCAAAACAGGCATTATTAATTCTACTAATTGCTGGGCCACTGAAAATGCCATGTGTTAAAATTGCATATACTTTTGTTGCTCCAGCTTCTAAAAGTTTTTCTGCTGCATGACAAATAGTCCCACAAGTGTCGGCCATATCATCTACTAGAATAGCAACTCTGTCTTTTACATCTCCAACTAATACCATACTAGCCACCTCATTCGCCTTCTTTCTTTCTTTATGTATAAGAGCAAATTCAACATTTAATCGATCAGCGATTGATGTTACCCTGTTAAGATAATCTCCTTATTTTATTCTCCATATATTTACTTTATATTAATATTAATTTTGAATTACCTTTTAGCACCACCAGCATCTGGCGAAACAATAATGCTATTTCGCCATTCTATAATATTTTCTTTAATCCATTTTAAAACAGCTGGTTCAGCAAATAAATTGTCAACTGGAATATCAAAAAATCCCTGTATTTGACTAGCATGCAAATCCATTGTAATAATATGATCAGCTCCTGCTACTGATAGCATATTTGCTACTAATTTTGCTGAAATAGGTGCACGACTCTGAAAAAAAGAAATTGTTAATTTCAATTTTGTAAAATTACACAAGTCTCTCAAGTCCATTTGCAACTGGAAATATCCTGCAATTTAAAAAAATTGCCATTAAAATTTTGAAAAAATTTTAAAAAGCTATATAAGATCAAATAGGGGAATATATTAACTTGTAAAATTTTTTTTATAAAAAATATATATCATATAATAAAATATATATCAATTTAATTTTTTAGAGGGGACAAAATATGAATACAATGGCTATATATATATTAAAATATTCATTACAAATATATTATACTTGTGTATATACATATAAAAACAAAAACAATATGTTGCAAATGCACCCCAGTTAGACTCAAGAAGAAAATGTAAGTAAAGCAAAATTCAAACTAAATTATAATACACAATGCATTTTGATTTCTTGATTTTGCATAGTAATAAATTAAATAAATTTGAAAGAATGACAAAATAAATTTCATAATTTTAGAATTATGATCGTGATTACGATATTTTGATATTGTATAAATATCATTAATAAATATATCCTTTAAATAAACACAAATGCATTGCGATCAAAAAGATAATTATAATTAGGTTATCTTGATAAATTTATAATAAGTATAAATTTTAAAAACTCTAATTTAACATTAATTATTTTAAAAAATTGTTTTTTTTATAAGTCATTCTTTGATGTAACATTCTATTGACATCACAACACAATCACAATTTTTTCTTGCAAAAGCACTATTTCGTTAATAAGGTAGGCACTTTTTGATTAGTATATTTAAATAACAATAATTTTATAAACTAATAGTAATTAAATTAATACCCATTTAACGTATAGATTTATATCCCATTATGTATATGTAGATTATTAAGAATGTATGTAAAATACTATTATATTAATATTTTGCCCTCTTATTCAAGTAACAATTGCTTTGATCAAAGATAATTCCATTCATTCAATTATTTATTTGTACTATATAGCAATAATTATAAGTATTGTTAGTCCTACAAAAATAATTTTAAAAGAAATTAAGATATTAAAAAGCCGAATTTTGTTTATCGAGTTATAAATACAAACGTTACACTCGACAAACATTACAATTTTATTGTTCTTATACTCACTGTAGAGAGGTCGAGCACAAAATCCTGAAAATACCCAACTATTCAGAATTTAATTTAACGAGTAAATATCAATCTTTTAACAAGAACTATATTACCAATAATATAAATTTATTATTGGTATTATTGGCATACTACAATATGCTATATATAAAGATTATTAAAAGTTAAATCGTAATAATAATTTTTATTATATTTCTTATAATATTGATTAAATTTTCATGAAATCAATATTCCTTTATTGTGCTTATTTCTTTAAAATATGATATAGGCAATTATTAAGATTTAAAAAAAATATTAATAAATTTTTCAAATAAAAAATTTAATAGATTAAGCTGTATTGTCTCAATAGACAATAATGTAAATATTATTATATGAATGTATAAAAGGCCCCCCTCGATGAATTCTGATATTAATTTTGCAATATTCATACGGGTTATCTAACTTTTGATAACCTTCTGATAATTATTAAACATAATACTTCGGTTATATTTGTTGTTTACAGCTTTGTTAATTATTTATTGCAAAATTATATGAACTTTCATATCATTTATTATTTATTTATATCATTATTACACGAAATATAATTTTGCAATGAGACCATATATATATATATATATATATATGTGTGTGTG